ATTGATTTGTCCACGTATTCCATTCCTGCGCACCATCGGTGTGTGTATGTGTGTGTGTGGTAGAAAGTCAAGATATTTGAGAAGTCAGTATTTATAAGGCAGAAAAAACAAAAGAAGATGAAGTGAAGTAAAAGTATGAAAAAGTCGTTTCAAAAGTAAACGCTAAGAAAACCGAAATACCCAGCATTCACCTAATTGATCCACCATCGGTCACCTCATACCGACCCATTTTGCCATATAAGGAGAAGAGACGAGAGCCCAATGCTAGATGCAATGTGATTTTCATACGATCATGACAGTCAAAACGTCGACCAAGGTATTTACACCCTTACCCCTACTCAAATTCATATGACTCTCTATATATTCGTCTGTATTTCGAAAAGTCATCCGCATACCTGATATGCCCTGCCTGTATCGGTTAACTTTAGGTATCTGTTGCAAATTTTATGCATACTATCCTATGCTCCATGATTCAAATTAAAAAAGAATGCTGATCTGTTGCTTTGAAAGGAAAACTAGGCCTACTACAATCTGATTGATGGCTGAACAATCACGAGGTCTCTAAGTATGACTATGAAAAGGAATGATAAAATGTATGTTCTGGAGAATAGTTTCCAAAATTTGACTGCTACCCCAGTATCATTTTATCCTATCTACATACCATCTACATGTAGGCTGCAATGGTGTTGTATATATATTAACTGGTAGGGCAAGTCAACCTTGTTTTCCAAAATAAATAAGCAGAAGTAGGTCTTGTATCGTAGGTTTTAAGCAAAACGTAAATGCACCATTATACTTCGCAGTGAAATGGTACACGCCGACCCTAGAAGACATCGAGGCAGGCCCACTGAACTATCTTCGCCTAATCAATGGCAGGCTGGCAAAATTAAGTCTTGATACTAAGTGTGAAGCAGCAATAAATGCAATAACTTATTGGTGTGCAGCTCCCCAAGACCTAGCTGAAGACAAAAAAAGGGGTAATACTTGGGCAGAGTGCGTATTGTTTGCCTGCAGAAAGGATCAGGAGCAATGTCGCCTGGTTGAGGTACAACAATAAATTAAAACAAGCAATCGACTGATTACAAAAGCACTAGACTTCACATTTCCAGATTTTCAGATAAGTAAACGCACTGAACCGAACCTCACAACCGACAAAGAGGTTATGGGAAAACAAAAATCTTTTTCCGCAGAGGAAGACTTTACGTTCTCCTTGATAGAATAGCTTAAAATGTACAGTTTTGTGATGCAAAAGCTGTAAGCAAAAATCTTTTCAAAATTAATATGGCAATCCTTATCACTGAAAAGTCATGCTTTTAGGACATGTGAGAAGTTGAGGCGTTGAAATGAAGGCATTCTAAGAGTGGTCAAATTTGGTTTCCTACCGCCTATGACTGAATTAATTTGTTGTGTCCATAGAAAGCGGCCCTTGGGGTTGAAAGAAAGAAACAAAAGCCTCATTTCCACTTTACCTCTTTTGAACCTCTGCTGCCCAACCAGTGATGGGAAAAACAGCAATTAATTTAACGTCCATCTTTTCACTTATTCAATAAGTTGTCTTCATTACCTCGTATACTTTACTTGATGGATCCTTTTTGCTTGCTGTCATGTGAGAGTCAGCAACAATTATTACTTACCCTAGAAGCATGAGGTCTGACGCTTTTGACAATCCAGTGCTGCATAAGTCAAATGATTTTTTGATGGGTGGTCTAGTATATGTAAAGGAACTCCTTACCCTCTAAGTGACTTTAGCTGAGGTGAATGTCATTAAATACTGAGCCATGTCAAAAACGATGGCTAGTTGACTCAATACTGGATGGTCCTTGATTGTTGACGGACAAAGCTTACTTTGAAATCTGTATCGAAACGTAAAACTATATCCAACGATAAATAACAACGCAGAAGGATAAACTCACTAGTATTCAGGGAAAATTAGTTGGCTTTAATTGTATTTTCTGCAAGATGTGTGTGTAGGAAGAGGCAACTGTAATAATTCTCAACAGTGCACCTCTGCCTAATTTGAACCCATATTTCGAATCTGGTCTGGACCGGCAAAAACCGAGGGTATTTTCTTTGTTCTGAAGTACTAAGATTGACTACAGGAATGGAGGATTTGGCCAGGACACATTTGCTATGTCGTAGACTTAAGTCTGCTTTATCTATCAAATTTGTTTATTAAAGGGCAAAGCATGCAAGGCAAACTATGGTGGTAGTTTTGCAAGCAAAAACGAATCTCACCTTGATGGTAGTGGTGGAGCACCCGTTCCCAATTTTGGTGCATTACTAACGCGGCGCAGACCTAGTAGAATGCAACTTCCTGTCACCCTGCAAATTCATCTTCTCAGATCTAGTACTAATAAGCAATTATAGTGTTTAGAGGTTTCTCGTAGTACTTTATCTATGAAAAATATCTCTGCGAATCTCGCAAGATAGTGGCAATTTCATGTTTAGCACCATATTTAACGCAATAAGCGTAAAAGCTTTCTCCATCATTAACCGCTAGAAAGGATTATGCACCTCCTGTTATTGCACGTTACGCTTCAACGTCTTTGTGACAGGTTCAATAATAAAAATAGACAAATGTCTACTGCTATACAAAATGGGGTTTGCAATATAAGTGTGGGTCAATGTAGCAGCAAGGTTACAAGGAAAAGAATTTGATTCTCCCCACATTTCCAAAGGCGTAATCCAATAACATGGATCCTCCTCATAATCCCAAGAAATGCACCACATCAAGACTACCACTGAGTAAATTTCTTAATTTAGGCATCACAAAAGGGGGCAGAATTGAGTATAACTACAAAAATATCACTCCAACCGCTAGTTGACTATTGCCACTTTGAGCCACAATATATGCCCACATGCTTTGCAGCATCGCTTGCATAAGAGCATTAGATTACAACACCGATATCTGCCCAGGCGACACCCGACGCAGGTGTTCTAATATCTACCATAATAACATCTGTTCCTTTATTGCCAGGAATTGTCCTCCTTCTTATAAGTCATGCGCCCTTATCTACTTGCCCAAGAACGTAAGAAGATATTTTCAGATCTTCCATGATTCAAAAGAACACGATCAAATATAACAGCAAGTAGACTGCTCACTTCCAATAAAGGCGGTGCAACTTTCCACTCCAGAACTTAAACGAGTTGGAAAACAAATGTTAGTCTACATCTACTGCATCGTAATGGCAAATACATCACTTTGAGTCGTAACTAGATAAAAATGTGCAGAGAACCCTGAGAAAAATGTGTGAGATAATTTGTGGGGTCCATATATGTTTGCGTTTTAAGCATCCAACGTAAAAATGTGATTGTACAATGTTGGTTGCAAGGTTTATAGGGATTAACTATCCACCTACTGAAACCAATGCAATCTATTTCATCTTGTCGACTGACCAATAATGACACAGCAGTTGTGTTATTACGATGTCGTCGACACAACACGATCTACTGTACGTCGATTTAATTGTAGTGAGCAAATTCCCTTGCCAAACTTCGCGAAGAGACAGAGCTACGAATTTTATACAATCCGTGAACATCAAAGGTCAGATTGGATTAAATTCATATTTGAAAATTAAGATTACAATAAAACAGAAAACCGGACTGGAACGTCCCTACAAACGTGTCACTCCGA